GACCTTGAGCGATCCACCTGCCTCAGCCTCCCAGAGTGCTAGGATTACAGGCGTGAGCCACCATGCCCGGCCCTTGATATTATTATTGAAAGAAATATTGCAGGCCGGGCACGATGGCTCAACACGTGTAATCTAAGCACTCTGGGAGGCTGAGTAGGGCAGATCAATCAAGGTCGGGGGTTCGAGACCAACTTGAGCAAGAGCGAGACCCTGTGTCTACCAAAAATAGAAAAATTAGCCGGCCATGGTGTCTTATGCCTGTAGTCCTAGCTACTCGGGAGGCTGAGGCAGAAGGATGGCTTGAACCTGGGACTTTGAGGTTGCTGTGAGCTAGGCTGATTCTACGGCACTCTAGCCGGGCAAGAAAGTGAGACTCTGTCTCAAAAAAAAAAGAAGAAAGAAATATTCCAAAATTCATGGAGTGATATGTGAGAGTTACAAAGTCATTGATAATAATAATAATAATGGTATGGATTAAGAATTTTTGTAGCTGGGTATGGTGGTGCATACCTGTAATCCCAACTACTGGGGAGGTTGAGGCAGTAGGATTGCTTGAGCCCAGGAGTTCGAGGCTGCAGTGAGCTATTATCATGCCTGAGAATAGCCATTGCACTCCAGCCTGAGCAACCTAGCAAAAATCCACCCAAAATAAAAAAAAAGTGTTTTGTTGAGATAGTAGCATACTACCAAAAGAGTCCAGTTGCTCAGAGGCTGCAGAAACCAGGAGATAGAACCTAGAATTGTGCTGTCCAGTATTGCAGCCAATGTCCACATGTGGCTATTTAAATGGAACTTAATTAAAATTAAATAAAATTTAAAATTCAGTTCCTGCCTCATATCAGCACATTTCAAATGCTAATGGACAGAACTGTTCTGGCTTATGGAGTCTAGAATGTTTCTCAGAATATGGTCCAAGGACCATGCATTTTTTTAATTTTTTCTTTTTCTTTTTTTAATTTTATTTTTCTCTCTTCTTTTTTTTTTTTTTTTAAGTTAGTCTTAAGGATAATTCTGTTGGAGGACCATGCATTTTTTAATTCTTGGGGGATGTTTGGTGAGAAACACACATTTCTGGGGTCATTCCAGATCTTCGTAGTAAGCATTTCTGACTACAGAACTTGAGAATCTGTATTTTGTTTTTTGGAGACAGAGTCTTGTTTTGTTGCCCAGGCTACAGTGAGTGCCCTGGCATCAGCCTCGCTCACAGCAACCTCAAACTCCTGTGCGAGTAGCTGGGACTACATGCATGCGCCACCATGCCGGCTATTTTTCTATGTATATTAGTTGTCCAATTAATTTCTTTCTATTTATAGTAGAGACGGGGTCTCCATCTTGCTTAGGCTGGTTTTGAACTCCTCAGCTTGAGCAATCCACCCGCCTCGGCCTCCCAGAGTGCTAGGATGACAGGCCACCACGATTGGCCAGAATTAGTGTTTAAAGGGGACATTTTCTGTTTGGGATGATGCAGAAGTTCTAGAAAGAGATACTAGTGATGGTTTCACAACAGTGTGAAGGTTGGGCTCCAAGACTGGAGTGAACTGGATCTTCAGACTGGGATATTGAGGAAGATCAGACGTGACTGCAGTCTCCAAGGACTGCCTGGCTTCAAATCTTGGCCTCTTCATTCACATGCCATTTGACCTTAGATGGGTTACTATACCTCTATCTGCCTCAGTTTCCATATTTGTCAAAGAGTCAGTAATGGTACCTATCTATAGGGTTGTTGTGAGAATTCTATGAGTTCCTAAGTGTGTAAGTTACTTTACCCAGCACACATTAAGCAGAGTTTACTATTATTATAATTAGCCAGGCACAGTGGCTCACACCTGTCATCCCAGTATTTTGGGAGGCCAAAGCGGGAGGATCACTTGATGCCGGGAGTTTGAGATCAGCCTGGGCAACACAGTGAGACCCCCATCTCTACAAAAAATAAGCAAAATTAGCTCCAGGCATGGTGGTGCATGCCTATAGTCCCAGCTACTTAGGAGGCCAAGGTAGGAGGATCACTTGAGCCAGGAGTTAGAGGTTACAGTGAACTATGATGATGCCACTGCGCTCCAGCCTGGGCAACAGAGTGAGACCCTGTCTCAAAAAAAATACGCAATACATACACAAACAGAAAAACATTAGTTATGTCCCCAAAGGCCTACTCAATGAATGTGGGGTGTGACCTGTTCCAGAGATTTTCTCTGGCTTCACCACTGAAAATATCACTGATACTCAAAACTATTGCTGTTTCTGTTTCTTTTTTCTTTCTTTTTTTTTTTTTTTCCTGAGTCAGTGTCTCACTCTGTTGCTCGGGCTAGAGTGCCGTGGCATCAGCCTAGCTCACAGCAACCTCCAACTCCTGGGCTCAAGCGATCCTCCTGCCTCAGCCTCCTGAGTAGCTGGGACTACGGGCATGTGCCACCATGCCTGGCTAATTTTTCTATGTTTTTTAGTGCCATTAATTTCTTTCTATTTATAGTAGAGACGGGCAATCCACCCGCCTCAGACGAGGTCTCGCTCTTGCTCAGGCAGGCTGGTTTCGAACTCCTGACCTGGAGCAATCCACCCGCCTCAGCCTCCCAGAGTGCTAGGATTACAGGCATGAGCCACTGTGCCCGGCCTGTTTCATTTTCTTCCTAGCACTTATAACTCACTGAAGTAACCATCATTTGGTGTTGCTTCTTTTTTTTTTTTTTTTTGAGACAGGGTCTTGCTCTGTCACCCCAGCTAGAGTGCAGTGGTGTCATCATAGCTCACTGCAACCTCTAACACCTGGGTTCAAGCGATCCTCCTGCCTCAGCCTCCTGAGTAGCTGGGACTAGAGGTATGTGCCACCATGCCCAGCTAATTTTTCTATTTTCAGTAGAGATGGGGTCTCACTCTTGCTCAGGCTGGTCTCGAACTCCTGACCTCCAGCAATCCTTCCACCTCAGCCTCCCAGAGTGCTAGGATTACAGACAGGAGCCACTGTGCCTGACCCTTGCTTCATTTTTTTTTTTTTTATTTTTTTTTTTTTGAGACAGAGTATCACTTTGTTGCCCAGGCTAGAGTGAGTGCCGTGGCGTTAGCCTAGCTACAGCAACCTCAACTCCGGGCTCGAGCGATCTTCTGCCTCAGCTCCCGAGTAGCGGACTACAGGCATGTGCCACATGCCCGGCTAATTTTTTTTATATAGTATATATCAGTTGGCCATTAATTCTTTCTATTTATAGTAGAGATGGGGTCTTGCTCTTGCTCAGGCTGGTTTTGAACTCCTGACCTTGAGCAATCCGCCCGCCTCGGCCTCCCAAGAGCTAGGATTACAGGCGTGAGCCACCGCGCCCGGCCCTTGCTTCATTTTAATTGAGCACCTACTATGTGTGAGCATTCCAGGCAGAGGGAATACCATATGCAAAGGCCCTGAGGTGAGAACCTGCCACATACTCTTTAAGATGCTAGAGACAGGTTGGTGAATAAGACAGGTACAGTCCTATCTTCAAGGTGTTTGTATTTTTTTTTTTTGAGACAGTCTCGTTTGTGCCAGGCTTAGAGTGAGTGCCGTGGCGTCAGCCTAGCTCACACCAACCTCAAACTCCTGGGCTCAGCAATCCTCCTGCACTGAAGTAGCTGAAACTACAGGCATGCGCCACCATGCCCGGCTCATTTTTTTTCTATATATATTAGTTGTCCAAATAATTTCTCTCTATTTATAGTAGTGACAGGGTCTCGCTCTTGCTCAGGCTGGTTTCGAACTCCTGACCTCGAGCAATCCGCCCGCCTGGGCCTTCCAGAGTGCTAGGATTACAGGCGTGAGCCACCGCGCCCGGCCTGGTGTTCGTATTTTAATGGTGGCGAGATATCTAACATGCTGCCAGGTGGGAAGCAGGTTGGGGGCAAGAAGGTGGTCAGGGAGGTCCTCTATGAGGAGGTGGCACTTGAGCAGAGGCCTGAGAAAGAGGAAATGGAGGGAGCACGTGGCTATTTCAGGGAAATCTATTGACTTTGGCCTTGCCTGTGCCTCTCCCCCATTCCCCTCCCCTCCCCTCCCCTCCCCTGCCCATCCCATCCCATCTAGGGCTCAGGTTTCCAGAGGCTGTTTCTCAACTGCTAGAAAGGGGAATCCCAATGGGGTTTGCAGGCTGTCCGTCCCTGTCTGCCTCCTCCCCTTCCGCTGTCCTAGCGTTCAATTCTCCAGCTTGGGGGCCTGGGACCCTCCCCCTAATCAAAGCTCCAGACCTGTGTCTTCAAAGGAGTCGCTGGGCTCTCTGGCTCCTGAGGAAGGAGGAGGCTGTCACCTGGGAGCCCAGCTAGGGACCCATCCCCCAGCCACATGGCGTCTGGTTCTCGGTAAGGCTTGAGGCTGTCCTTCTATGGCAAAGAGGGGGCTGAGGGGCCTCTCTCTCTAGCCCAGTGGAGGAGCAGGAGTGGTCTGGAGTCAGCCTGTCTGGGTTCAAATTCAGGCAGGCACTGAGTCCACTAGTGCTGTGTGACCCTGGGCAAATCACTTAACTTCTCTGAACCCACACCTCCGTAAGAGCTTATCATAACTACTGCCTCCTAAGGAGTCAAGTCTTCCTGCCTAGAAAGTGCTTGATGAAGGTCAGACATTACTTTGGGGAAATACTGAGCCCCAAAGGGGTATCTGGGTCTGTTGCACCCCCAAAACCACTTCTCCAGCTCCCTGACAGGCACGTGTCATTGGGATGGAGAAGGGGCCCCCTACCACCTGCCAGGCTGCCTCTCTGAAGCAAAGCAGGGAGGCCCCAGGCTTCATTAATGCCTAGGAGGGGCCAGACAGCTGCCTAGGGGGAAAAAAATCTCTCTTGATCCCTGTTTTCTCAGAAACCACTGAGATCCTGGCATGCGGGCTGGAGCCGGGCTAAGGGTGGGGGGCGTGGGATGGGAAGGCTGGCAAAGGATGACATGCCCAGGCAGCAGCCACCACCGCCCCTGCCCCATCCAGCCCAGCGGTGGGACACTAATGGCAGGCATTGCTCCCTGAAGCCTGAAAAGACACAACCGCCAAAAGCAAGAGAGATTGAACTGTTTATTGGCCTACATCTGAGTCGCAGGCATGAGGAGGGGTCTGGGGAGCTGTGTGTCGGGGAGACAAGCCCCTGACTGGCTCCTTGCCCCCCAAAGACCCCTTCCCCCAGCCTTTGCATTCACAAGAAATTGCTTCGAGGCAGGCAGGCGTGAGGTTTCCGTCCCCAGTGTGAGCTGCACCCCAGCTCTCAGGGGGCGGATGAGTCAGCAATCAGGGTCTGGGCAGCGCCAGAACCTTCCTTTGGCAGCTTCAACACGGACAAGAGGAGACAGAACAGCATCCATTCGGGGGGATACGTGATCGGGAGAGGGGTCACAGACGTCACGTATGTGCACACACACAGACACACATAAATATATGTTCGTACCGCAAAATCCCTTCCGTCTATCCACAGGATTTCATAAAGTCCTTCCGGGGGAGGTTAGGGGACAGCACCCTCAGATATGTCCTTGGCCACCCCCCCCATTCAATATAACTTGAAAGAAGGCATAGGGCACTCAGGGCTGCCCTGCCTTCAGAGACCTGGGACCTTGGCTGGGGCTGCAGGTTCGGAGGAGGGGACGGCTGGTGGGGGTGGCATTTGGAAGGCAGGGATCCTGTGCAAACATTTCCCCCAGGATTTTCTCAAGTCCCACCCTGCCCCACACCAGGAGAAGCAGCTTCGCCCAAACTGGTATTTCCCGCCTTTGGTTATTATTCGTCTATGCCCCCAATAGTGCAACTGACCAATGAGGTCTGAGCTCCGGGGATGGGTTCAGCCCCCTCCCCTCGCCACCTCCACCCCGAGATTTCCGGGCATCTCGTGGACTCAGAGGAAAGGGAAGAAGTCGCCCAAGTGGCAGCTGGTGAAATTTAGGGAAGCTGTGGATTGAGGCCCTAGAGGGGCCTCGAGCTCTTCCCGACAGTGGTTCCAAAGAAGTGGCCTGAGCTTGTCCAGAGAAGGTGGCACGGGAGGATAGATTCAGAGAGGGGACTTTGGTGCAGGGTTGGGGGTCCGACAGGAAAATGTTGGAATCCTTTGAACCGCGTGGTAAAGTGGTCCTGCCCTGAGTTCCCCCCTTGAGTGCACGCCTGCTGTCACCTCACCCTTTATGGGTGCCCCCCCCCGTGTCCCCACGATCCAGTTCTAAAGGGGTCACACTGGGCACCGCACTGACCCCAGGACCCCACTGCAGCACTGGGACCAGACCAGGCAGCGCCCCAGCTGGCCACGCAGGGTGTGAAATGCTTGCGATGTCATCCGGGTCTGGGGGGGGTGGGGCATTTGTCGTGGCAGCCCCTTGCCCCTGTCTGAGGTCACCTGGAGCCTCTCCACGCAGCCCCCTGCTGTGGCCCGATTGCCAGTCCACCTACCGGCCCCTGCGGCCTCAGACCACCGTGTTGCCCTCCAGGAATGTGGGGGACGTGGGCATGTGCGTGCCCCTCTCCAGCGAGCTGGAGCTGCGCAGCGGCAGGAGGTGGTGGCCCGGGGTGCCACCCCGCCGCCCTTGCACCCCCGCCGCCCGCTGCCAGCACCGCAGCGGCCGCAGCACCTCCCGCCGCAGGTCCCGGCTGCGCCACGTGTAGATGACGGGGTTGAGCAGCGAGTTGAGCGTGGCGAAGGCGAAGAAGTAGTGGGCTTTGTAAAGGACGGGGCAGGAGCGCACGGGGCAGGCGTAGTCCAAGAGGAGGATGCTGAAAGCTGGCAGCCAGCACACGATGAACACGCCAAGCACGATGGTGACCGTCTTGAGCAGGGCCAGCGTCTGTGATCCGGCCATTTCGGCGTGGCTGGAGCGGACCACGCAGTAGATCCGGACGTACAGGGCCACGATGGCCAGCAGGATGACGGAGAAGATGGTCACCACGCACAGCACGTAGTGCTTGGCGTACAGAGGCAGGACGGTGGAACACGCCTCGAGCTGGCCCAGGCAGTTCCAGCCAAGGATGGGCAGGCCACCAAGAACCAGCGAGATGACCCACGAGGCGCCAATGAGCAGCAGCATGCGGCAGCTCTTGTCGCTGCCGTAAGGCTTGACCTTGGCGATGGCCACATGCCTCTCGATGGCGATGGCCAGGAGGCTGAAGACGGAGGCAGAGAGCGTGATGAAGGCGGAGCCCTCCCGGGCGAACCACTGCACGGGCGTCAGCCCCAGCGTGACGGGGCCGGACAGCAAGGTGTTGGCCACGAAGGCCACGCCGGCCAGGAGATCGGAGGCGGCCAGGTTGCCCAGGAACAGGTACATGGCCGAGTGGAACTTGCTGTTGCGTGCCACGGCTATGAGCACTAGCAAGTTTTCCACCACGATGGCGCAGCACAGGATGATGATGAAGGCCGAGGCCACCTGCCGGGAGGGTGTCTCCTGTGTTTCCAGCGTCTCTTTGGTGTATGTGTAGTGCTCCAGGACCTTGCTGGAGTTCAGGTATTCCGAGTAAAAGCTGCCCATGTTGGAGCTCAGCGGCCGGCCGGGGCCATGGGACTGTCGGAACTGCAGAGAAGAGAGACAGACAGACAGACAGCAGGTCAGAGAGCTCTGACCTCAGACGGCTGAGGCTCAGATTCCAGCTCTGTCGCTCCTCTCTGAATGCCCACGTGAAGTCAGAATCCTCACCTCCGGGTTTTGCATTTACGGACGGGAAACCCAGAGAGGCCACTTCACTTTCCCAAAGTCCCAAAGCTAGCAGGTGGCAGAGCCAGAGAGACTGGCTCTGAAGTCTCTACGACCCCTAGGTGACACTCTCTTTTTATTTTATTTCTTTAGAGATGGGGTCTTGCTCTGTCACCCAGGCTGGAGTGCAGTGGTGCGATCACAGCTCACTGCAGCCTCCAACTTCTGGGCTCAAGCGATCCTCCCACCTCAGCCTCTCCAGCAGCTGGGACTACAGGTGTGCACCACCAGCATGCCTGGCTAGTTTTTCAATTTTATTTTTTGAGAGACAAGGTCTCACTCTGTTGCCCAAGCTGGAGTGCAGTGGTGTGATCATAGCTCACCGCAATCTCAAAGTCCTGGGCTTAAGTGATCCTCCCACCTCAGCCTCCCAAGTAGCTGGGACTACAGGCAGGCGCCACCACACCCAGCTAATTTTTCTGTATTTTGTAGAGATGAGGTCTTGCCATGTTGCCCAGGCTGGTCTTGAACTTCTGGCCTCAAGCAATCTTCTGCCTCGGCCTTCCAAGTAGCTACACTCTCTTTCAAAGGGACAGAAGCTTCCCCAAAATGGCATGAGGCATATAATGTGGACTTCCAGAAACCCTGCCCATCTACCTTGGGAAGGGGCTGGAAGGTTTGGCTTGTCTATTTTTCCAAACACACAGGAGCCTTGGGCTTCATGCCGTCTGCTGACCTGGGTCAGGGAGATTCTCACCGCTGATAGCACCATCCCCTGCTCATTACCACCCACTGCCCCGGATTTCAGGCTGGGTCTAAGCCTTGAGGCCTTGGGTGCTCCCAAGATAAGGTCTTGGGGAGACACCAGGGCGGCCCTGAGGTTTAAACACCCCGGAGGTCACAGCATCTTCAAGGACACAGGCCTTGGAGGCAATCAGAGTTGGCTCCCATTCCAACTGTGACACGCTGGACAAGTCACCCAACACTCTCTCGGCCTCTTAGCCTCAACGTCCCCATCTGTGCAATGGGGAGAAGAAAGCCCACTGCATATGGCTGTTAGGAAAATCCTTTTAAATGATGCAACAGCCACACTTAGCACATAATAAGCACTCAACAAATATTAGCTAATGTTATCAGCTCCCCCTTCCCGCCCCACGCACACACTCTCACACACACACACACACACACATACACACTCGGCTTTGGATTTGGTGGCCCCCTACACAATCTTTTGGGAGGGGAGGGGGGATCCTGGCCAAGCCAACCAGGGGACAGCTTGTTCCCATCAGCACCATCTATCTTGGCCCTGGGACACAGGGTCCCAGGGGGGTGGGCAGGGCGCTGGCACCCCCTCCCCGGCCAGGATGAAATCCAGATGTGAGGCCCCTGGAACACACAGGGTGGAGTCCTCTCTCCCTAGTCACATCCGGTGTGGGGAAGGCTGGGTGGGGGGAGTTGTGATGGCGGAGACCCGGCTGGGAGGCTGGGGCAGCTGCGCTCAAGTCATGTGAGCGGTGAGGGGGCGTGAAGCCCCACTGGGGGGAGGCATTTGTTTCCATGAAAGCCTGAGTCACCCCCCTCTCAAGGAACACTGAGCCGTGGGGGAAGGGGGTGGGAAGAGGAGGATGAGAGGCAGACGCCCTGGCCTTCCCCCAGCTTGGGGGCAGAGTTGAGGGGGGGGTGTCTCAGAAGAGCCAGTGCAGTATCTGCCTTTCAGGAGGGGAGCAGGGAGGAAGCTGCAGCCCTTGGCCAAACGGAGGGGGTGGTGCAGGGAGAGTCCGCCCCAGGTCTCTAGAAACACGCTTGGCAAGGACTGCGTGCACCGTTCCAGAAAAGTCTGGTTAGGCCGGTTCCTAGTGAGCTTAGGAGTGACGGGGGGCTTCCAGGGTCGCCCAGCCGTCTCAGTCCCCGGCTGTCCCCTCGGAGGGGCGTCCGGGGCCCCCGGCCGGACTTCGAGGCAGCTGCTCCCCCAAGGCGGAGGGACATCCGTCCTAGTTTGGGAACAGACAAGGGCTTGTGCATTTGTGCATTTCTCTGAGGGACGGCCGCCCCGCCCAATCGCCACACAGAGGCCCCTTGTTCCCTCGCTGGACGGAGCCCCAGGCGCCCTGATGCCCTCTGCCCGCTGCAGCCGGTCCCCGGCCGACTTGGCCCCGGCCAACTGGCCTCCGCAGACCGGCCGTCGGACCGGAAACAGCCCGCGCCCTGATTGGCTCATTTTCAATCCCAGGGCACGGAGCGATTTGTCTATTGGCCTGACGTTCCATGCTCGGCCTCTGATTGGCCCAGTTAGGGGCGCTCTTACAGCTAGCCCTGCCGAACGGGCGACCGGACCTCAGCGCTGTCCAAGGAGAGTTAATGCTGTGTGGACGTCCCTGGGGGAGTCGGAACCGCGGCCTGACCGCCGGGTCACCCTGACCAGACGCCCCCAGGCTGCCCGGGGCCTGCCGGGCCCCTCCTGGGCTTCATAATTGAGACTCGAGGTCCCTTGGCAGGCCTGGGAAGCACACTCGCTGGTGGGCAAGAAGCCCAGGGTGTGTCTCGCGGCCGCCCCCTCCGCCGCTCCCGAGGAGAAAGATTTACTGCGGCTTCCTGGAGAATTAGCGTTCAGCCCTCTGTCCTCGCGGGACTAACTAAAAAGTCGGCCTTCCTCCCCGGGGAAAAGACTGGGGCCGCTGCAGTCCACTTTCTGCAACTGCAAGAAAGAGCGAGAGAGAAGCAGCTCCCCTAAAGAAAGGGAAACTGAGGCCCACGCTATATCCGAGTCTCATCTTCCTCAGTGGGACTTTGTCGAGGCAGGAGCTTAGGCGGCTTTGGCTTCCCAGAAAGAGGAAGCAGGGCAGGTTGGAGCTGGCAGAAGGGTCACCCCCTAGACGAAGGGAGGCCTGGTGGCTTCCTCTCCCCCGAGTCAGCCTCCCAGGTTCAGGGGGGGACATAGTGCCTGTCTCCTAGTCACCTTCACCGAAGCAGTCCTGACTGCCCCTCAGAGAGTCCAGAAGATGCCACTGGGCTCAGAACGGGAGACCGAATGTCCAGGCCTGAAAGGGAACAGTAAGGACAAGTGACAGGGCAGGGAGGGAAGGGAAGAGAGATAGACTGGGAGGACTGTTGGGCTGGAGATTAGGCGAGGGGAAGGCTGGAGGAGGGCTCAGCGGCTCCCAGGCTCCTCTCCACCTCCTCCCAGTTACAGAGAGGCAGATCCTGTGGTGACAGTTCCGCCTGGTCACCCAGTGATCCCATGCCCCTTGCCATAGGGCAGCCACCTCCCCACATTTAGTCCTCCTCCCAACGGGACACCCCCCACCACCACCACCACCTTACACTGCTATTCCTATTCTCCACCAAGCTGCCAGGGGGAGCTTTTAAACTTACAATATGTCACTCCGGTCCTCAATATTCTTCCATAGCTATCTATGGCCCCAGTGGCATGGCCCCTGGCTATGCAGCCGGCTCCCAGTCTCCCTGGAGCCAGCCCCTCCAACCACACCAGCCTCCTGTGGGCCACTCCTACCCTTGGCACACCGGTCCCCCAAATCCTTAAATGACTGTCTCCCCATCTTTCAGGTTTCCATTTATAGGTCACTTCCCCAGAGGGGCCTCCTCGGACCACCCATCTGCAGTGGCGACCTTCCCCAAGCCCTGTGACAGCATCTTCTTTTATTGTCTTCGCAGCACTTGCCACTAAGGGAAGTTGTCACAGTAGAATGCAAGTGCGGATGGGGTTCATTCTCAGCCCCTGCAAGGAGGCCTGGCACAAAGGACGCTCAGCCAACATGTGGACTGCGCAAATGAATGAATGAATGAATGAACGAACGAAGGGACACACGAGACCCCAGTGGGCTCCCGAGGGCGGAGGCTCCTAAGTGCAGCCCAGACCCAAGCGACAGCAAAGGAGGGTGGAGACACCTCTGGCCCCCTGGCGGCCCTCCCCGCCACCCCCAAGCGAAGCCCGGCGCGTCTCCGTGGAGACGGCTGCAGGACCCGCCCCCGCGCCGGCCCGCACTCTCGGCCTCCTTATCTGGCCGAGGAATGTGCGGTATCCACACTCGCTCGCGCAAGGGCCGCGCCTCCTCTGTCCCGCGATCGCCACGCGCGCGGGGACCCCCACATCTCCAAGTGGCACTGGCGGCCAGGAGCCCCAATTCGAGATCCTCGGAGGACTACGGAAGGGGGGAGATCCCAGTCGCACCGGGAGTGCTGTGCGGGCGTCGCGCCACGCAGGGGACCGTGGGCTCAGCGCGTGGCGATCGGAGCGTCTGACAAGGTCTGGCCAAGCCAACCGAGGGACAGCTTGTTCCATCGCACCATCTATCTTCGGCCCTGGGACACAGGGGTCCAGGGGGGTGGGCAGGCGCTGCACCCCCTCCCCGGCCAGGATGAAATCCAGTTGTGAGGCCCTGGACACACAGGTGGAGCCTCTCTCCCTATCCACATCCGGTGTGCGGGAAGCTGGGTGGGGGATTAGTTGATGGCGGAGACCGCGGCTGGGAGGGCTGGGCCAGCTGCCTCCAGTCATTGTAGCGGTGAGGGCGTGAAGCCCACTGGGGGAGCATTTGTTTCCATGAAAGCCTGATCACCCCCCTCTCAAGGAACACTGAGCCCGTGGGGTGAAGGGGGTGGGAAGAGGAGGATGAGAGAGAGGAATGAGAGGCAGAGCCTGCCTTCCCCAGCTTGTGGGGCAGAAGTTGGGGGGTGCTCAGAAGAGCCAGTGCAGTATTGCCTTTCAGGAGGGAGCAGGAGAGGAGCTGCAGCCCTTGGCAACGGAGGGGTGTGCCAGTCCACCTACCGGCCCCTGCGGCCTCAGACCACCGTGTTGCCCTCCAGGAATGTGGGGGACGTGGGCATGTGCGTGCCCCTCTCCAGCGAGCTGGAGCTGCGCAGCGGCAGGAGGTGGTGGCCCGGGGTGCCACCCCGCCGCCCTTGCACCCCCGCCGCCCGCTGCCAGCACCGCAGCGGCCGCAGCACCTCCCGCCGCAGGTCCCGGCTGCGCCACGTGTAGATGACGGGGTTGAGCAGCGAGTTGAGCGTGGCGAAGGCGAAGAAGTAGTGGGCTTTGTAAAGGACGGGGCAGGAGCGCACGGGGCAGGCGTAGTCCAAGAGGAGGATGCTGAAAGCTGGCAGCCAGCACACGATGAACACGCCAAGCACGATGGTGACCGTCTTGAGCAGGGCCAGCGTCTGTGATCCGGCCATTTCGGCGTGGCTGGAGCGGACCACGCAGTAGATCCGGACGTACAGGGCCACGATGGCCAGCAGGATGACGGAGAAGATGGTCACCACGCACAGCACGTAGTGCTTGGCGTACAGAGGCAGGACGGTGGAACACGCCTCGAGCTGGCCCAGGCAGTTCCAGCCAAGGATGGGCAGGCCACCAAGAACCAGCGAGATGACCCACGAGGCGCCAATGAGCAGCAGCATGCGGCAGCTCTTGTCGCTGCCGTAAGGCTTGACCTTGGCGATGGCCACGTGCCTCTCGATGGCGATGGCCAGGAGGCTGAAGACGGAGGCAGACAGCGTGATGAAGGCGGAGCCCTCCCGGGCGAACCACTGCACGGGCGTCAGCCCCAGCGTGACGGGGCCGGACAGCAAGGTGTTGGCCACGAAGGCCACGCCGGCCAGGAGATCGGAGGCGGCCAGGTTGCCCAGGAACAGGTACATGGCCGAGTGGAACTTGCTGTTGCGTGCCACGGCTATGAGCACTAGCAAGTTTTCCACCACGATGGCGCAGCACAGGATGATGATGAAGGCCGAGGCCACCTGCCGGGAGGGTGTCTCCTGTGTTTCCAGCGTCTCTTTGGTGTACGTGTAGTGCTCCAGGACCTTGCTGGAGTTCAGGTATTCCGAGTAAAAGCTGCCCATGTTGGAGCTCAGCGGCCGGCCGGGGCCATGGGACTGTCGGAACTGCAGAGAAGAGAGACAGACAGACAGACAGCAGGTCAGAGAGCTCTGACCTCAGACGGCTGAGGCTCAGATTCCAGCTCTGTCGCTCCTCTCTGAATGCCCACGTGAAGTCAGAATCCTCACCTCCGGGTTTTGCATTTACGGACGGGAAACCCAGAGAGGCCACTTCACTTTCCCAAAGTCCCAAAGCTAGCAGGTGGCAGAGCCAGAGAGACTGGCTCTGAAGTCTCTACGACCCCTAGGTGACACTCTCTTTTTATTTTATTTCTTTAGAGATGGGGTCTCGCTCTGTCACCCAGGCTGGAGTGCAGTGGTGCGATCACAGCTCACTGCAGCCTCCAACTTCTGGGCTCAAGCGATCCTCCCACCTCAGCCTCTCCAGCAGCTGGGACTACAGGTGTGCACCACCAGCACGCCTGGCTAGTTTTTCAATTTTATTTTTTGAGAGACAAGGTCTCACTCTGTTGCCCAAGCTGGAGTGCAGTGGTGTGATCATAGCTCACCGCAATCTCAAAGTCCTGGGCTTAAGTGATCCTCCCACCTCAGCCTCCCAAGTAGCTGGGACTACAGGCAGGCGCCACCACACCCAGCTAATTTTTCTGTATTTTGTAGAGATGAGGTCTTGCCATGTTGCCCAGGCTGGTCTTGAACTTCTGGCCTCAAGCAATCTTCTGCCTCGGCCTTCCAAGTAGCTACACTCTCTTTCAAAGGGACAGAAGCTTCCCCAAAATGGCATGAGGCATATAATGTGGACTTCCAGAAACCCTGCCCATCTACCTTGGGAAGGGGCTGGAAGGTTTGGCTTGTCTATTTTTCCAAACACACAGGAGCCTTGGGCTTCATGCCGTCTGCTGACCTGGGTCAGGGAGATTCTCACCGCTGATAGCACCATCCCCTGCTCATTACCACCCACTGCCCCGGATTTCAGGCTGGGTCTAAGCCTTGAGGCCTTGGGTGCTCCCAAGATAAGGTCTTGGGGAGACACCAGGGCGGCCCTGAGGTTTAAACACCCCGGAGGTCACAGCATCTTCAAGGACACAGGCCTTGGAGGCAATCAGAGTTGGCTCCCATTCCAACTGTGACACGCTGGACAAGTCACCCAACACTCTCTCGGCCTCTTAGCCTCAACGTCCCCATCTGTGCAATGGGGAGAAGAAAGCCCACTGCATATGGCTGTTAGGAAAATCCTTTTAAATGATGCAACAGCCACACTTAGCACATAATAAGCACTCAACAAATATTAGCTAATGTTATCAGCTCCCCCTTCCCGCCCCACGCACACACTCTCACACACACACACACACACACATACACACTCGGCTTTGGATTTGGTGGCCCCCTACACAATCTTTTGGGAGGGGAGGGGGGATCCTGGCCAAGCCAACCAGGGGACAGCTTGTTCCCATCAGCACCATCTATCTTGGCCCTGGGACACAGGGTCCCAGGGGGGTGGGCAGGGCGCTGGCACCCCCTCCCCGGCCAGGATGAAATCCAGATGTGAGGCCCCTGGAACACACAGGGTGGAGTCCTCTCTCCCTAGTCACATCCGGTGTGGGGAAGGCTGGGTGGGGGGAGTTGTGATGGCGGAGACCCGGCTGGGAGGCTGGGGCAGCTGCGCTCAAGTCATGTGAGCGGTGAGGGGGCGTGAAGCCCCACTGGGGGGAGGCATTTGTTTCCATGAAAGCCTGAGTCACCCCCCTCTCAAGGAACACTGAGCCGTGGGGGAAGGGGGTGGGAAGAGGAGGATGAGAGGCAGACGCCCTGGCCTTCCCCCAGCTTGGGGGCAGAGTTGGGGGGGGGGTGTCTCAGAAGAGCCAGTGCAGTATCTGCCTTTCAGGAGGGGAGCAGGGAGGAAGCTGCAGCCCTTGGCCAAACGGAGGGGGTGGTGCAGGGAGAGTCCGCCCCAGGTCTCTAGAAACACGCTTGGCAAGGACTGCGTGCACCGTTCCAGAAAAGTCTGGTTAGGCCGGTTCCTAGTGAGCTTAGGAGTGACGGGGGGCTTCCAGGGTCGCCCAGCCGTCTCAGTCCCCGGCTGTCCCCTCGGAGGGGCGTCCGGGGCCCCCGGCCGGACTTCGAGGCAGCTGCTCCCCCAAGGCGGAGGGACATCCGTCCTAGTTTGGGAACAGACAAGGGCTTGTGCATTTGTGCATTTCTCTGAGGGACGGCCGCCCCGCCCAATCGCCACACAGAGGCCCCTTGTTCCCTCGCTGGACGGAGCCCCAGGCGCCCTGATGCCCTCTGCCCGCTGCAGCCGGTCCCCGGCCGACTTGGCCCCGGCCAACTGGCCTCCGCAGACCGGCCGTCGGACCGGAAACAGCCCGCGCCCTGATTGGCTCATTTTCAATCCCAGGGCACGGAGCGATTTGTCTATTGGCCTGACGTTCCATGCTCGGCCTCTGATTGGCCCAGTTAGGGGCGCTCTTACAGCTAGCCCTGCCGAACGGGCGACCGGACCTCAGCGCTGTCCAAGGAGAGTTAATGCTGTGTGGACGTCCCTGGGGGAGTCGGAACCGCGGCCTGACCGCCGGGTCACCCTGACCAGACGCCCCCAGGCTGCCCGGGGCCTGCCGGGCCCCTCCTGGGCTTCATAATTGAGACTCGAGGTCCCTTGGCAGGCCTGGGAAGCACACTCGCTGGTGGGCAAGAAGCCCAGGGTGTGTCTCGCGGCCGCCCCCTCCGCCGCTCCCGAGGAGAAAGATTTACTGCGGCTTCCTGGAGAATTAGCGTTCAGCCCTCTGTCCTCGCGGGACTAACTAAAAAGTCGGCCTTCCTCCCCGGGGAAAAGACTGGGGCCGCTGCAGTCCACTTTCTGCAACTGCAAGAAAGAGCGAGAGAGAAGCAGCTCCCCTAAAGAAAGGGAAACTGAGGCCCACGCTATATCCGAGTCTCATCTTCCTCAGTGGGACTTTGTCGAGGCAGGAGCTTAGGCGGCTTTGGCTTCCCAGAAAGAGGAAGCAGGGCAGGTTGGAGCTGGCAGAAGGGTCACCCCCTA